AGGCAAAACGGATTGTGGTGGGTGGTGGGAGGAAAGGATTGGTAAAAAGGTGAAAGGTGCGAAGGCTGCGCGTGGGAGCTCTGATCGGCTCGGCCCCAGATTTCCCAAGGCTGCGCGGGACAATGTCGGCAAGCCAATCAGCGTGTGCGATGACATACAAGGATGCATCGCCAGAGACCCACAATCATCCAATGGGGTGAGCCACGGCTAGGGAACCTGAATGGAGCACGGCGGAGTTCGGTTATACTAATAGTCCGTCACGGTATCCACTCGGAGGCAATGCGGCACGGCACGGTCTAGCCGCGCTTTAGTGGGTCATCCCGGTAGCTTGGCCGGCGCAATGTGGAGTTGAAGGCCGGATGTGTTGCCCGAGCCGAATATTCGACTCAAAACAGAGTACTTTAAGTCATTACGGAGTCTAAAAATCATACTAGGCACTCGGCGCAATATGGCCTGCCATACCAGTCCTGCCTCCGGTTCCTTGGATGGCTAAGCACGATGGACCAGGTTCACCACTGCACACGGACGAGTAAGCTTCGAGAATAATAGACGGCCTCTACTTCGACTTGTGCAAATAATTGCCTATTACTTTACGTGGTTGTAATGAATTAGGCGGTGAATAAGAGCAAAAGGATTCAATTGGTAGCTATTAGATATACGCTGTCTGTGGAACTCATCTGGAGCCTCCCGAGTTTTTCATCTGTAATGAACTATACAAGAGGGTAGGTATACTGGCTTCCTTCTCAGTTCAATGGCTCCCGGTAATTCAAGCGTTTCTGCTAGTACCAGGTTGTCTACCTTCCTTGATCATGGTCTCGGTGGTCACCATGATCTGGTTTTGATGACTTCCCTTGTTTCTTCGATCCTTGTGACCCATCTCTGGGTCGGCTGTGACGTGTGCGTATACCGAAGGCATGCTGCTTGACTGACCGGCGTTCATATCATTGAGGACGAGCTCTTCAGTGCTGACTTCTCGTTGTCCACTCTCAAGCTCCTTGAAGGTTCCGCGTCCCATGCCTGAGGAGGAGCCGTATCGATTGTACGCACTGGTTTTGTTATGGGCAGATGATAGTCCCGCACCGGGAAGCCACTTGGATAGAAGGGGTCGGATAGTCGGCAGAGAGGCGCATATTATGGAAGTATTGAGCTCGATGGCGGACCAGATTGCGGCGCCGATATTTTCCCATGGCGGGTCGTTGCTTGAGACGGCTGTGCGGAGGGTGAACATGCGATAGACTGAGATGATGCAGACGCTGTAGTAAGAGCCCAAAAGTCAGCGAGCGAACCTCAGGTTATAACGTTGATTGTCTCAGCGTAAGGCAGTCAGACACAGTAAGACAGAGGGATAGGGGGTAAGAGCTTTGCGTTGACACTGACAAGAAGCCAAGACAGAAGATACCAAACAACATAGCCTTTTGCTTTTTTGGAAGTTGAAGCCGGAGAACGGAAGGCAAAGGAATGCAGAAGATCATGAAGTCCGTCGCTAGACTCATAGCAGATGAAAAGTACCAAATAGGTAGCGTATCGAGGCAAAATTCGGCGGTGCTAGGCACGATAATAGCGATAGGCAGGCAAGAAAGCCCAAGGAGAGTGGCCTGGATGCACGCCCATATCACCACGTATACCATTGCCCAGAAGCAGACTCTCTGAACTACTTTCGACACAAACACACGCCGATACTGGAGCAAGAATGAAACCTTGACGACGTTCATTCCCATGTTGTAATGGAGAATGACGATGAGAAGATACTGCACATCTCGAAGTCAGCCTTTCCTGAACACATGATTGGCCAAGTGTCGATAGGATCTGGAAGATGCGCAAACCTTCAATTGCTCCATGGTCTCCTCTGCCGAAACATTTTCAACATGTCTACCCATACCATATTTCACTTCTAGAGTGCTCAAAATTGTTAACATTGTGCCTCAGTCTAAGGTACTGCTTGGGTTGAAACTCGAGGCAAAACGTACCGAAGACTGTGCCTACTCCAACCACAAGAGCAAACAGCTTTTTCACCCGTTAGATTTGCCCTACAAGTGTTATGATAATACCAATCCCTCTTACCATGGCAATCAACATGGTCCAATCATCCTTTCCAGCCGTTTTTAGGAGAACCAAGCGAGTATAGAGTCGAAGAGAAAGGACCGCGGCCGAAGCAATAACAAAGCCAATGGCAATACCATTCACAAGAGGGCCATTCGACTCGGTTCTGATTTCATGGGATTCATTGTCGGCCATAGCTGTTAGTGATGTTTGTTAAAGGGTTGAAACGAGTAGCGGAATTTGAAGATTAAGGTCACCGATCTTGATCAAAGACTCCTAAGGGTGTAGGTAGATCGGCCCCCGAGAAACATCTTCATGATATGTTTCTCCGAGAGTGAATAAAGGAGCAGACTATTATCTGCGTACCGAAGCTTGAACGGCTCGAACGGATGCCATTTTGCGGGAGGTGAGATGCGTGTGACTGTGACGAACTCTCTGCTGCATTGAGGAGCAAGAAGGACTGGTCCGATGGACACAGGGGTAGTGTCTGTGTTGCCGAGATAGCAGAGATCACTGGAGAAGGAACATGCAGGGTCCGTTAGAGGAAGTTCGTCTCATCATATTTCCTGGTAGGGTGGCAGTTGGTTCCTTCAGACCGTGGCCCACAGACACAAAAACCAAGAAATGCTGACGAAAGGTTCGCCTGTTGCAGGCGGTGCCGTCTAGGGTAGCTTCAATGGATTTAGCCACCGCAGGAAAGGTAAACCCGGCAAGGACAACACGTCAGGTACCCTTGCATCGAACACGGTGTTTGCCTCCATTGCGACCGGATCTTGGTGGTCTTGCTATACCAAAGCAATGCACAGCCCTGGATACCTAGGGGATGATATCTCGACCCCTGCGTCGCTGTCCCGAGGCACGATCGGCCCTGGAACTTGAGACGGGGGAAGTACTGAAGTATCATTCATCGAACAACACCGTGTTAATAATCTCGTCAATTCTTAGAACTCATCGTGCTCTTAGATAGCCCAGGTATTCGTTCTCAGAGACATAGACTGCTTTCCTCTGTACTCTGGCAGGAGCTCGCTCGACATCGGCAATGGAGATAGGTTTTCAATTCGCTGGCCCATATACGCGAGACAATCGTTCAGGTACTAGGATTCCTTGAGACCTTTCGGGTACCTCATATGAGCTTTCTTCTTTGTGTGCAGACTCTGACATGAAATACATGATCCGAAGTCATTGGGAACGAAGGAAATGGCACGAGCACTTCGTGTCCACTCCAGCATCGACATGAGCAAGGGCTACCTTGGGTGCCATGCTCAGCGCCAAGCAGGTTGGATCACTGTCAACTGTAGCGACGGTTGCACTACCCAGGGAACGTAACCCCTCCCAGGACTTTTCGTAGCGTTCTGGGGAAGATGTTGTCCTAAGCCCACGTTCCAAGGGTAAAGATGCACTGGAGGAAGAAGGCGCATGCAGCAATGGCACCTAACCAACTCAGTCTACAGTATCGGTGTCCCGGCTTGGCTGTTGGAACCAATCATTAGGTAAATTGTCTGCAATATTCAGGCCAGGACCCTGGCCCTTGAAACCGGGCCAAGTTACCAAATGTGGACATTAGGAAAACGGACTTCGTAAAACAAGGGACTTGACCATTCTATGTGCCTCAAACTTAGCCTAATACGCATCAAACGTTGTCTTTTCCTGTCTCTCAAACATATTGCAGAATATAACGATATCATCAGATCTCAGAACGACAGCATGGGACGAAATTTCATCTGCACTAAAGCTAAGATTTGATCATCAGGCGCATCAAGTGAACAGCCATGTACTTATGTCGGACGTCACATCATATGAGGGGGGACGCTTCCCCGGACCCGCCTTTCAGGATCGAACGTTTGTAACTCCGCGTCCGCTAGGCACACCTTAGTATCAATCTTAATCGAACCGCTTGTGCATGCATCCATCGCTATCGCATGCGGGGAGAGCCGACCACGCCGCCTTGTGGGCGTCCATTCTTCGCATCCAAAGCTGGTCCCACTGGCAAGGGCCCACCCGAAACCACCATGCCGGCTTATCGCGTATTATTGCTTCAGAACCTCCGATGAGCTGCTGTGCTTGTTCTGGCATGACCTTCGTGTGTCTGCGGAGCGTTCTCGGGGCCACCCGTATCCGCCCACTCGCGGGTCATTCCCGTGGACAGGACTGGATGTAAGAAGCACTCAGTTAACATCAATAGCCTCTATGTCTCCAGACTTCCAATCAGACAAGGCGTAGTCCAGTGGTAATCGCCGATTCCATGTCGAAGGAAGATATGAACTAACGTTCTCTACACTATTCCGGCCGTCTAGCCTTTTCGTGTTATGATTACGATACAGCCTACCATCATGAACATGGTCTTTTGATTACATGGCTCAAAGTTATCTTGTAGTGATCACAGAATCATACCATCCCGTTATACCATGGGCGATTAAGATACCGGATACGGTATGCGAGGCCAATATCGCGGGGCACACTCGACTGGAGAACCCAGTGTGGACTAGGGTCAACAACCCCCTGTCTGTGTTGGTACCTTAACATAGTACGCACACGCAGCAGTATCTAGTCGTGCTCTGCGCCATTATTTACGTGGCAGAACCCATGGGTGAGTCCTCTTTATTGGTCGGTCAACGTCGCATCCGAAATTCTCAGGAGACTTCGAAATGTTGGTTCAGGGTTAGGTTCTTCACCGTCCAGGATATGGACCGCGAGCTTCATTCCACAGAGCGAACGCATGAATAATCTCTGCGTAATGCAGGGAAGCGGAGGAGACCCCTCGACTAGAAGTCTACTACACAGAAGGAGGTAAGTCCCCCGATAAACAGCCATTCGAGGCTTGGGAGTCGAATGAAGGCCGCACTTACAAATTACGGCGCTTGTCCGCCCAATAGTGACCCCTATGGCACCACCAAGCATCGACTATCCGTTGGACCCAGCCAAGTGAGAAATCTTCCTTTGTTGTCATTAAGCTGCCCAGAATGCCCTTCCTCAAGACGTGGTCAGCACTGGTGCTGCTCAGTGCTATTTCCTGCACTTCAGCTCAATCTTACGACTACGTAAGTCACAGTTCGCGTCGAATTTTCGGGAAAGTTCCTTGCATGTGCTTACAGAGAAGATAGATAATCGTAGGTGGCGGGACAGCGGGCTCAGCTCTGGCTACCCGCCTGAGTCTTGGTCTTCCAAATGCCTATGTCTTGCTTCTCGAGGCTGGCCCGTCTGCTCTAGACGAGCTCCGTATCAATGTACCTGGTCTGAGAGGCTCAATACTGGGGACGCAATATGACTGGAACTTCACTTCAGTTGGCCAGAGCGCTCTCGGTGGCCGTCAGATCCCCGTCAACCGCGGCAAGGTTCTGGGTGGCTCGTCAGCCATGAACTACCTTTGCTATGACCGCGCTGCTGCTGCCGAGTACGAGGCTTGGGGCGAGATGGGTAGCGGAGGCTGGTCGTGGGATGTCATGATCGAGGCCATGACCAAGTCGGAGAACTTTACGGGCTCCGACAAAGACCCTCGTGGTCGTTCTGGCCCCATCCGTAACACCTACAACCGTGTGGTGTATGATGTCCTCAACACATGGCAACCGGCCGGAACGGAACTCGGTCTTCCTATAAACGAGGAAGGTAACATGCACGGCAACCCCATTGGCATCATGTTCCAGGGCACCAACATCGACAATACCGACTATTCCCGGTCTTACAGCGCCAACAGCTATCTTCCACTTGCAGGGTCGAACCTCGAGGTGAGGACCAATGCCCAGGTCGTTAAGGTCAATCTTAACAAGACTTATGGCAACGATTACACTGCCACTGGTGTGACACTGGCCGATGGCACGGTTGTCAACGCTGTCAAAGAGGTCATCTTGTCTGCTGGTTCTATTCAAAGTCCTGGTCTGCTCGAGTTGTCTGGTATTGGTCAGACTGCTGTGCTCAAAGCCGCCGGTGTTGAGCCGCTCATTGACTTGCCTGGCGTCGGTGAGAACTACCAAGACCATATCCGCACGTCCAACGTTTATCGTCTCAAGGATGAGTTTGACTCCTTCGATGCGCTCATCTTTGACTCCAGCGGTGCTAACGCCACCGCTGAGCTGCAAAAGTGGATCGATGGCGAGGTGTCTCTCTACGACTACACGACCGCGGCATACGGTTTTCTGAATTGGGGGCAAATAAATCAATCGGCTCAGGCCGAGATCATTGCTCTTGCAGAGGCGGAGTTTGGCAACAGCACCAACCCCATTGACAAGAAGAAGCTCGAGTTCCTCAAAGACGACTCCGTCCCGGACTATGAACTCATCTTTGACGCAAACTACGTGGGCGCGGCCGGATACCCTGGTTCTGGCAAGTTCATTACCATCTTCAGCACCGTCATGCATGCCCTCAGCCGGGGCAACGTGCACATTGATCCCGCGAACCCCACCGGCAAGCCCATCATCGACCCTAAGTTCCTGAGCAACGAGCACGACATCAAGGCCGCTGTCGAGGGCGCCAAGTTTGCGCGCAAGATTGCCGAGACGGGACCCCTCAAGGCCGTCTGGGAAGTTGAGATGGAGCCTGGCCCGGATGTTCTGACTGACGATCAGTTCCGTGAGTTTGCCGTCAACACGGTCACGAGTTTCTACCACCCGGTCGGAACCTGCTCTCTTCTTCCCAAGACTGAGGGTGGGGTCGTCGATGCTGATCTGCGGGTTTATGGTACGCAGAATCTGCGAGTAGTCGACAACAGCATTGTGCCCGTTATTGTATCTGGCCACATCCAGACAGCTGCGTACGGTGTTGCTGAGGTGGCGGCTGCGAAGATCATTGCGAATGCTATTTGATGGGACTTACATACTGTGCGGTTCCTACCTAGAAATAAAAACTTAGATACTTACTTTACTTGCTACTTAATTTGAATGAATTCCGACGACGCAACTACATACGATCGCTGATGAAGCTCGCTGTCTGTGTGACAGATCTGTAGATCTCTTCCTAATAGCTGCAGTCCTGTATGCCTTATACCGTAGCCCATTTAATCCTAGTGGAATAGAACCTCAAATGTTGAGTTCAAGTTTTCGTTTGAGCAGCCGCCGGAGTCGGAGCTGCAATAAGCCGACTCCGTTTCAGTTCTTCTATTCGTACTGTCAATATCTTCTCTGTGCTGACCGTAATCAAGGTGTTAAGGCCTGGAGACTCAGTAGGAGGGTATCGTTATGGTAGCCCTCTAACATTCATGAATTGACTATCAAGTACTGCAGCTGCGAAACAGTGAAGACTGAGATCCCGCCTAACACCCCAAAGCCAGTACATGAGAAATGACTACCTCTGGGTCTCAAGTGAATAGCTTGCTAGTTTGGCAGCACAAAAGTGCTGAGACACCGGAGATGGACTTAGTCTCCGCTCCCGCCCCGATCTTTGTCGGCTCAACTACAAGATCCGTTGGAGCCTTCCACTGTGGCGTCCCCCGACGCAAGGCTTTAGGTTTGGCTCCTGTCCGACCAAGAGGACTGGTCCAGGCATTTTCCTTATTGAAGCAAAACGAATCTACCCCATGACCATGACCTCTCATTTTGCACCAAGATGTAAGACATCGATGTTCTATCTACCATTTCACATATAAGGTATACTGGGCAAATCAGTCACTTGTGATCTTCACCACATAAGAACTGAAACGACAATCCTAATCATGGCAGACATGCTGGATATCACCAATCCCATACAATGGCTGACCGTTCTGGCCCCCTTCACCGCGGTCTTGCCGATTTTGTACATCCTTTACCAGATCATCCGGCCGAAGCCCATACCTGGCATTCCATACAATAAACATGCCGCAAAGAGCATTTTCGGTGATATTCCCGACATCAAGAGAGAACCACCCGGTAACCTCCTCATTTGGATAGCAGCTCAGTCCCGTCGTCACAACAGCCCTATGTTCCAAGTCTGGCTGGGCCCTCTCACGATGGTTGGTCATTAGTTAAACTTTAAAGCTGACTTTTAAGTCTGACTAGTGACTAATTAGTCACCTCACCAGGTAGTCTGGACACCCTGCTCGCGTCCGGATTATCAGGCCCTGATCAGAAATTGCCATTTAAGTTTCAGACCATCAGCGGTTCTTTGCCTACTACAGCAACTGATGTCTTATCCCTTGCTATATCAGAGCTGAACTCTTGCCGGTGTCTGCTTCAATATGATGCATCCGGACATTCCATTTTACAACATATTAGCCCGACGCTTCCTTAGCATACTTTGGTGAGATCTGCCTAAACCGCAGACAGTGCAACGTGAGGCATTTTATACCAAGAATCGGCATGACGAAGAATAAGCCTGTCGTGACTGGGTCAGAGACTTCACATTTTGGAGTGTCAAATTGTAGGTATGTTTCTTGTGACCCAATTCCTTAAATAGAGGTAAAAACCCGCCTTCCTTGGTATTCTTCTCATACCTTACCTCTGAGACCATTCCAACATTTCTGCTATTTCTTTGCACCGATCACAATTTGAAATCACTCATTATGAAACTCACAGCGACGGTCCTGGCTCTCCACCTCCCCTCTCTGGGTCTGGCCTCAGTCTATAATGACTGGGCATTCTCAGAGGCACCTTCGGCTGGATTGAGCGATATAACTTTCCCTATGAGCATGGAAGGGGCACCTCGCAAGAGTGGTTTCTACTTTGCCCAGAAGTTCGGCTTTCACGGGGTTAATGATATTGGTTATACGGGGCTACAGCCGCGTCCCGACAACCAACGTAGACAGGTCGTCCATGCAGTCTTTTCCTCATTCCAGAAAGGAACGACTACCAAGCATAAGAACTGCTCCCCGGGCGCAGATGGTGGTGCCGGAGTTAGCTGCGCCCTTGACATTTTCGGCGACTATTCTCACGTCTACAATCTCACGGTGTGGAACACTGGCGGCACAACCTGGAGAGGAACTCTTCTCGACACCGTCACTGGAAAGTCTCATGTAATCGGCGAATGGACGCTCCCATCTTCCGCAGGCAAAATACTGAACGGAGAATCCGGTTTTTTTGAGTACTACAACTGGAACGATGGTAAACCCAGCCACGTTTGTTCTAAGCTTCCCTTCTCGCAAGTCTTCTTCGGCAACCCCACTTCAAAGACACAAGGAGCTAGTGGTGGCAACATTACCCGCGTTTATGAGGAAGGGGAATGTGTCGGAAAGCTCAACCTGAAGGCCACCCAGACTGGCAGAGGATATCGGATCCAAGCTGGTTTTAAGTAATCTCTTTCTATTGTAACTCGGAGCTTTATAAGAAGGGTTTCTCCATCGTCTCCTCCGATTCTCCCCTGTTTATGCAGCGTTCCACGCATATCAAGTGTTGTAGTGAACTCTGAATTCCACTCTAAACATTGGCTCTCACCGCACTCAAATCAACAGGAAATTTAAACTAGAGCTCCTTTTCAAAATGGCTAGATAATTCCAACCGAGAAGGGTTTGTAGCTCTGGGTTAAACGTACTGATAAACTGCTATCACATTCCCTACTCCCAGATATTCCGTCGGTGGTTCGCACGGCGCCCTGAGAATCCCTTCTGATAGACGGTACTACGTGGTCGGCCGTGAGTTCGTGGCTGAATTTTCAAATGATAAAGTCACACTGCCTTGCTTTATCGACCTAAGCAACGCTGCAGTCGGCAGAAAACATTGGCAGCGTAGCAATGACCGGGTTTCCGAAGCTTGCATGGTCAGTCATTGGGCTGAGACCAAGCGTATGTCGGGGAAGAGCGGTGCGAGACGATTTCCTCGTTGATCAGGTTCTGCAGACATCGGACAGATTCAAAACACAACTTCGGGATGTTGACAATGAGGACAAACACGTTAAGTCTGCAATTGACTTGATGGTACAAAGGCTGAACAGTGTCATGGAGAAGGAAGGCCAACTTCTCCCTGACTGGATCGAAACCATGAGAGCTGAGGGAAGACGAATTTGAAGGAACGACGCTAGATAACTTACTGACCTAATATTGTCTTAGTCTGCCGGCTTTGTTGTTGCTAGACATGATACGACGAACACAACCCTCTGTTGGGGCATCAAGTTCATCGCGGATGACCAAGCAGTTCAGCAGAGACTTTCTGAAAGCATTCGGAGCTTTCACACCGCAGCAAGTAGTGAGGGTGGTCTTCCTACCCACTCTGAGATTTGCGAAGCAAACATACCGTACCTAGACGCAGTTATTGAGGAGATGCTTCGGCTTGCTCATACAGCAACCAGTCAAGATCGAGAGTGCAAAGAAGATACAGTCATCTTGGGCCATGTCATCCCCAAGGGTACCACCGTCATCGTCCCAAACCGGGGTCCAAGCTTTACTGAGCCGGGATATGAGATCGAGGAACGCCTGCGGAGCCCATCTTCGAGAAAAGCAGCCACCGATTTTAGTTCCAGGGTCTAGGACTCCCAGGAGATGGGAAAGTCAAGCCGGATCGTTGGCTTGTACGAGATGAGAAGGGTAATGATGAATATGATGGTTCTGCAGGGCCGACCTTGCCCTTCGGCCTTGGACTTCGCGGTTGCTTCGGACGAAAGCTGGCATACATGGAAATGAAGCTTTTGATCACTCTCTTGATCTGGTCATTCGAGTTCCAAGAGTGCCCAGAGAATTTGTCGAGTTATGAAAGTGTTACAAGCCTTACACGGAAGCCTATACAGTGTTACGTGCGCTTGAAGATTCGCTTAGATTATTGTACGCTATTGTATGTATTAGTACTTTGTTCAAGCACATAAACACCAATGCTACTCATCACATCATCTCGTTCTTGCGATTGGGTCAGTGTCTGGCAGGCTTATTAATACTTAACCATCCAACATTTTTTTCGACCTTAATTACCCTCGGCAACTTGCGTCACAAATATTTCAACATGGCGGCAGAACGGTGGTATTCAACATACACAAAGATTCAATAATGTATTGTGCTAAAAGAATGGACTTCATCAACTTACTCAGAGATGAATTCAATGAGATACACGTAGTACTGCTAAAGTGTCAGCGGTCGTGAATCCGAGTAGTGAGCTTGATTTCGGCGTTAGAGAAACACCCTGGATCCGTCTTTATCCGAGTTCAACAGCCGCTCTCCGATGCCGGTCACAGCTGCCGCTTTTGCCGTTAATCCACCCCGGCACTGCAACACCAGAGTACTGAACTTGGAAACCTTGATCTACAACTACAACAGAATTGCACCGTGATCTTGATGGATCATGCTTCGGGAAAATGACGAAGGACGAGTTATTGCATACTCGACCGCCCGTGGTTGAGCCGTTCTCGGTCGGGCTTCGGGAAGACGACGAATTTAATGATGGGCGCCCGATCCCGGAACGATCGTCAACAGAACCTGGAAACGCGGTCCAAAAATCGCCAGCTACTGATGGAGGAATGGTAGCTTGGCTCCAAGTTTCGTCGGCTTTCGCACTCTACTGGAATAGTCTGTAAGTCTTCGTCTCATATCCGGGAGGCTTTGTCCCTTCTCTTTACCTCAATTGTGCTCGACTAACGCCTCTCGATGCAGGGGTCTGCTCAACGGCTTTGGTGCTTTCCAGACATACTATGAAACTACACTGCTCAAAAGCGATTCATCTTCAGCTATTGCATGGATTGGCTCAGTCCAAGTCTTCTTTCTCATGGCTGGTGGTGTCATATTTGGCCCGCTCTATGATCTCGGCTACGCTCGATCCATGTTATTGACAGGGACGTTTCTCGTCGTCTTTGGCTTCATGATGACCAGCATCAGCACGCAGTACTATCAGTTCTTACTTGCGCAGGGCTTCTGTGTTGGTATTGGCTCTAGCTGCCTGTATATCGTCGCCATCACCTTGGTTCCTCCCTACTTCACAGCCCGAAGGGCGTTGGCAATGGGGGTGGCAACCGTTGGAAGCAGTCTGGGAGCGACCATTTATCCTCTCATTTTTGAGAGCTTGCAGCCTCGAATAGGCTTTCCGTGGACCGTCCGAGTGATAGGTTTCGTCACTTTAGCCATGTCTTGCTATGCCGTGATTGTGGCACGACCTCGGACTAAGGGTGCTAAAACCCTGATAACAAAGAACAACTCGCTGAAAGAAATCGCCGAAATCGCTGGCCTTCTGGATGTTCGATATATGGTTCAATGCGTTGCTATCTTCTTCAGCAATCTCGCATTCTTCCAGCCTCTCTACTACATTCAAAGCTACGCACAATCGCACGGAATGGAGGGCGCGGCTCTAGCTAAATATTTACTTGTGATACTCAACGCAGTCGGTATCCCTGGACGTATTTTGCCTTCCCTGATTGCCGACAGATTTGGTGTGCTGAATACCTATATTGGAATTTGTACCATGACCGCCATAACCGTTTTCTACTGGATCAGCGTGAATAACACTGCGGGCAACGTGGCGTTTGCAGTTTTGTATGGCTTCTTCTGCGCGAGTGTCGTCACTCTGGCTCCGGTCGTTCTAGCAAGCATAACTGATGATCTTGGCATCCTGGGAACGAGACTTGGTTTTGTTGCTGTGCTCAAAGGAATCGGTTCACTCATTGGGCCGCCAATTGCTGGCGCTATTTTGGGATTGACTGGAAGCTATCTCGGTGTTCAGCTATTCACTGGTCTGGCAATGTCACTCACAGTTGTTTTTGCGGCATATCTGAGAGTGTTGATATTTCGAAGGAAAGTCGACAAGTCTACCGACTGACACACCATGTTCGGAGACGAATAAAGCAAGACAATAGACTTCCAGGCTTCTCGCCCACCTGTCCACTGCCTCAAGTGCTATCTCTTAGATGTAGTTAATATAATAAGTGAGATATCTAGCCTCTTGATGTTAATCAAAATGCCATCACTCAAATGTCTACACTGTCTATGTCATCCTTACCTTTTGGCCTACACTATTTCATGTTTGCTTAGTCTTTCTGAGTGAACTCAAGAGGGCTGGGCTTAGTGGAGGATGTTATACAAAGAATGCACATTCACGAATAACATGAGGCAACTAGAAGCCCTATTTCAGAGCATGGCACAGCTAACTTTATGGCAAGAATGGTCATTGTTGAAGTTCAAGATGCCGCCGTAGCAAAATTTTCTAAGCTTGGATCATCAGCTTGGGAGTGCAAATATAGTGCCCGATGCAGCATGGCAAGCCCAAACCCTTCATGGACAGCTATTAAATTCACATCGAGAAACCCCAGCTTTACACAAGATCAGCCCCGTAACAGGTAGACGAGCACACCTTACGGAAAGGACGCAAGGCCACCCCAGACGGCCAAGGCGAGCAGCCTTGAACTGCATACTAGGCAGCATCTTGGTCTCTCAACCTCCACAGGGTTTTGAAGACTGGCAACGGCACGCAGTACCGCTAGTGCAACGAGATCAGGGCGCTATGCTCCTTGCCATGCGTGCAACCCCTCCATGGATCACGGCCACACTTCTTCCTCCAAGGCAAGGTACCCGGGCGGATGGGTGTGTAGTTGGCGAGTGCCCATTTAGCTGCCTGGGTGAAGAAAGGTAAGAGGAGTGCGAAGTAATATGGAGTGAGGGCTTCCAAATGAAGACCTTTGAGGCATTTTGACTTTACCGAAAGGTTAGTTCGCATATCGGTTATTCAAGTTCGATTGCACCCTATGCCCAACTTGGCCACTCGCTGGCCTCTTCCAAGCGGCAGAGAAGAAGCCCGCCTGCCAGTACAGTCGTTCTCAGAAGCCCGCGATTGAGGATGTCGCGCAAATTATCGATCCGCACATTAGCGAAGCCGAGAGAACGGTCCCAGGACCGCGGATCCAATTAAGCCACCCACACTCTGGGTGTTCTGGAGGGTGGCACCCCGGTCTTCTTCCAGGAAAGATGTTCCGTTAGCGCCGCCCTGTGGGTTCTCCGGTCACAAGATTAGCATCAAAGGTCCTCCTGCACCAGAGCCCGATGCGTACTGGTTGGCGGAAAGCCTTGCCGCGGAAAGCCTGTCGTCTCTGTGCGGTATGCCGGAACCCCGGACAAGACATGAGAAGAAGTTGGGTGTCATGCAGCAGCCAGTCTCCAGATCGGAATCTAGGGGAAAACATATGGTAACATGCTGCATTGTGTCTTCTTCCGCTTATGGGAGAGTCAGTGCTGGGGCTGCATCTTCACATTTTCGTTCATAGCGAGACGGACTCGGTATGACCAGGCGCGGGGACTCGGCACCCGACCTTATCGAGACTCTTTCCTCTGTTGGTCTCTTCTTCGGCTATTAGGGCTGCCTTGATTCTCCATCTCAGTCTGTTCAAAGGTGCTGCGCCGTGTCACGGCATCTCACTACCCCAGAGGCGCCGAGATGTGTCGGGTTGTCGGTGCGGATCTTGCAGCGGCAACTTTCCCTCCTGGGCTTTCGTCTACTTGGCATGAATCCCAGCTTGAAAAGGTATACACTATACAACTGCTGATAATGGCTAAGGTAGAACGCCTTACAACGAGTCGGAAACTTGAAACTCAGCTTGCACTTGGTCCAATTTCAACTCGCTTGCGAGTGCCATTGAAGGATCAGCAAAATCAGTGATTAATCACGCATCCTGCCTGTGTGACCCAGGGTATCAGCTGTCCGTGAGGATCCACGCACCGCTATTTAAAATTCCGTTTGTGTTGCCGGCAAGATGGAGATGCAATACCATCGGCTGAAGCCCACGATTTGCTATCGCTAACCCATCTATCGTCCTGAGGTAGCTGACTCTTATCAATTCCATCATGTTTACTGCTTCGAAATAGATCGACATGAGTACGGTCATGGCCATCTACACGCTCGCATGCTGTCGAGGTACCACGGGCTATGTCAGCCATAATGATCCTGCTATTCTTCCTGTCAGATGAGTGCAAAAAAAAAAAAAAAAAAATTGTCCACTAGGCTTCCCCGAATAGCGAATATTGGCACATTGATCAATGTGGATCGCGGAACACGTTCGAGGCTGCTGATGCGGTTGACCCGGCCGATCGGACGGCGCTCTAGACTCTAGAGTACTCACCAGCGGCGCAGCATGGATAGCGGCTTTCGGATCCGTGACCCTGTTGACAGATCACGGGCGAGCTTCTCACACCGACCATAAATCTTCACCCCAAGCCTATTGGGAGACTGTACGGTGGCGTTGGATCACGGCCCGCTCAACGCATCAAGAAGCCCAGTTTGAGGATACGCACTGCAGTTGTGGCTGAAATCTGTGACCATTCGTCGAATAAAGTCTTCCTGATGCAGGATCAAGGTTGAGAGTTGGCTATAGCGACTGATGTGAGTAGACGCGGGGGCTAGTGAGGAACAATGGACTGACTGGTAGACTAGGATGATAGGCACATGAGATCCGCACCGATGGGTCGCGTGCGCCCATGTGCCTCGCTCTCCGCCGTGGGTCATGATTCCACCACTCAGTGTGGATCATCGAGAAGACGTAGGAACCGGCTCTCATACGCTGGAATTCAGGAGGAGGAATGGGCTTCCATTGCCGGAGGCTTGCAGCCGCGGAGGACCGATTGAAGGAGCCGACGCTGAATGGTTGTCCTTCGTCTGCGTGAGTACGGAGGCAAGCGTGTACATGTCCGTCCGCTTCCCAGAGTCGAGTTCAGAAAGCATGATACTCCAATTTCTCCATCCCGAGCCAACGGCGCAACATCCAAAGTCCAATATGAGAATAGAACGGCTCCAAGATGACAAGGGTGGGTGGGCCGGCGATCGCAGGGACTGGGTGCTTTAGCTCCGAGTCTGAGTCTAGAGGCGTTTCCCGGCCTGGGCTGCCACATTGAGGCAGATTTTAGCGCGGAGGAAGGCGGCCCGTCTACCAGATAGGAATAGCGTCCTGTCGAGAGAATGGGGAGAAGACTCGGAGGGCGCCAGAAAGTGCAGATGGAGCATTTGTCAAGTCAATTATGATCCTTTCCGCAGTTTCCTCTGTTTTCAAGGAATGCTGAACTATGGAAAGTAACTAAGATGGGAATACATGTGTCCGTGAGCTTGGTTGGTTTAGACTGATTTCACGCAGTAGTCTGGTTCAAAACTGTAGCCCCATCTGGTGAGTTTGCTAACAAGCGTGTACGGAGTAAGAAGTCGGGACCTTTCGCTATTGCGAAATACTTTAGCTGTCTTACAAGGTAAAGGCATGAAATGAGTATCGGTCCTTAGTAAGATACATCCCTGGCGTGAGCACGAAAACCACGACAGGGGGTGGGTGAGCACTCAGCAAAGCCCAGGACAGTCCCCCCAAGGACTGAGTCCTCTGTCGCTTCAATGATTCCCAGTCTGCAGAGACAGCAAACGAAAGTCGACAGGTGTTGCTCTCAGACCACATGGAACGACGGCCCGGCTAGAGTCGACTGTGAATCCTCTCATTCTGAGCTATTGTGACCCAGTTGGGTTTGGCGCACCTTTCTCCAGATCTCCCCTCCAGTTTTTCTTCCCCATCTAAACCCTCTCCAGCCAACCCAGACGCCACAGAACGCGTTAGAGTGCGACGGGCTCGTGTGTCTTCGGCTGCGTGGTCTCAGGGACCCGGGCGGGCGCCCCATGGACTATCCGTATTGCTGGTGGGCAACCGAGGAACCTGAATTGGCTCACAATGATTCGATCTCGAAAGAAGTTGTCGCCTACGACAACAATGATATCTCCGATTAGACAACTGGGCAAGTCCCGAATAGGTCACCTTACGCTCGACTCAACAGACCAACCCGGTCGACTCGAGGCAAGACGGCCAGCATCTCCACAAGCCCACACACTCTGCCCCAGATTCAGCAAAACCTTTTTTGGCGTTTTCTCCAGCGCCCCATCGAACCGGTAGCAAGGCAGCATAGCATCCGCAAACATCCTGGCAAGGGTACGGAGCCTGTCGACCCGCTGATCCGGGGAGGGTGAAAGCAGAAGAGGCCGGCCAGGACAAGAGACTTGACGCTTCTGCTCCTCCGCCTGACAACGTTGGTGACCATAATCGAAACCCAACGCACACATCGTCAACGCCAGACACTAGCCAAGCTGGCCTATCTCGTCTGCCGGCCCGTTTCGTCTCGTCTACTGGGATGGGCTTCTAGGTTGACACGCCTTCATTAGCGCTCCTTCGCCTGGCCCTGCATACCATGTTCAGAAGAACTCGGCACGGACGAAGCATTGTTGGAGAGTAATTGGGGGTTTCCCTCCGCACTAAGGCAGACAGACAGGCTAGAACCATAAGCCGCCCCCAAGGTTTGCTTAACGAACCGCCCGGACGCCTCCCATCTCATTCACATTGATTGCGATGCAGCCATCACGGGACCGAGAAAACGAGTAGCTGGTACCCGCCAAGCAGTGTCACACCCTGAGACGAAATCTTCAAGGTTAGAAGACGAACATTGTGAGCTTGACCTGACAGCTCAAGGCGAATTTCGGCGTCTACGTTCGGGCAACGCCTCTTCGCATGTCCTGTGCCCACAAGTCGGATGCTGGACTAGGTAGCCGGTCGCTCAAGTGGCAACCCAGCATCCGCAGGTGTTGCTTGAGAATTCTGAAAGGACAAGGGTTTGGTAGGGGGTGCGTGAACGAGGGTGGTGCAACCAACGATCTGCCCAGCCAGTACAAGCAAAACCCAAGGACCATTCGCCCTAGTCCAGCCGCCTTTTCGGTCCCATGTGGGAATGGGCCGTCCTTCCACCCCATGCAAGGGTGGTAGGCTCGAAACGGCCGAACTAATTGATGGGCAATTGAAGGTTGGGGTTCGTTCCTACCAAGAACCGCTTCCTCTCCATCGGAATCTTACTCCTCATCCCCGTCGCAGGTGATTTCCAAGGCCGAAAATCATAAAACCTCGGCGTGTCCCCGCGATCCCTGGCCTGCTCTGTCTTGAGCTTTCCATCCTCAACCCTCCCCTCATCCACTTTCCCGCCTCCAAGATCCATTACACACAGCTTGGTCTGTGGTGATCGGCCATCTCAGCTTACTCCCTCTCCGCCAACGACAAAGGGAACTTGCGCCTCGGCCGCGTGCCGCTCACAGTCAGCATGTCCGAGAAGATTGATACCGTGGACACTGTCCACGCCCACGACCATGACTCCGACAAGGCAAGTCGCAGTGACTTTTACCGTCGAGCCCCGAACAACTGATTTAGGAAGCAGCAGCTAACATGTCTCGATGCTGCAGAAGGAAATTCAGACCAAGGTCGTCAGGGGTAGCGAGGCTTTCAACGAGGCCATGATCAAGGAGCCCCCTAGTGCCTGGACCAAAGCCCAACTGATGATCTACGCCTTCTCCCTCATCGGTTTCTTCTGTTCCACCATGAACGGTTATGACGGTTCCTTGATCAACAACCTGCTTCAGAACCCTTCTTTCAAGGAGCGTTATGGCGCCAAGAACGACGGTATTTGGGCTGGTATTATCTCTTCCATGTACCAGATTGGTGGTGTTGTGGCTCTTCCCTTCGTCGGTCCCGCCCTCGACACCTGGGGTCGCAGAATCGGCATGTTCATCGGTGCAGCCATCATCATTATCGGTACCTGCATCCAGGCAACTGCCAATGGCACTAGCCAATTCATGGGAGGTCGATTCCTGCTTGGTTTCGGTGTCTCCATCGCCGCATCCGCCGGACCCATGTACGTCGTCGAGATCAACCACCCGGTAAGTAACAACCTCAACTCATCGAACAAGATGAAGAATCTTGTGTTAACGACTCTTCAAGGCCTACCGCGGAGTCGTTGGAGCGCTATACAATACACTTTGGTTTTCTGGAGCTATCATTGCTTCTGGTGCAGCTCGCGGAGCCCTGGACATCGATGGTGATGCCTCATGGCGCCTCATCACCTGGCTTCAGGCTCTCTTCTCCGGACTCATTGTTATCTTCTGCATGTTCATGCCAGAGTCTCCCAGATGGCTATTCGTCAACAATAAGAAGGAGAAGGCTGCCGAAGTACTCGCCAAGTACCACGGGAATGGCAACCCCGACTCTCCATGGGTCAAGCTCCAGCTACACGAGTATGAAGAGCTCCTCAACATGGACGGTGCCGACAAGCGCTGGTGGGATTACCGTGCGCTGTTCCGCAACCGCGCTTCCGTCTACCGTCTCTCCTGCAACGTCTGTATCTCGATCTTCGGTCAGTGGGCCGGCAACGCTGTTCTGTCGTATTTCCTCGGATCCGTTCTCGACACCGCCGGCTACACCCACCCCATCCAGCAAGCCAACATCACCCTCATCAACTCTTGCCAGCAGTTCCTGTGCGCCATTTGCGGTGCTTTGCTTGTCGATAGAGTCGGTCGTCGTCCCCTACTGCTCTTCTCTTTCACCGCTTGCACAATTGTTTGGCTCGGCATGACTGTCGCCTCAGGTATTTTGTCCAAGTCTCAGGTCGGTGAAACAGACAGTGGTGCCCCCATCTTCGACAACCCGGCCGCGTCGCAGGCTTGCTTGGCCATGATCTTCATCTTCGGTTCCGTCTACTCGGTCGGTATCACGCCACTCCAGGCTCTGTACCCCGTCGAGGTGCTCTCCTTCGAGATGCGCGCCAAGGGTATGGCCTTCTCCAACTTGGCTGTCAACGCCGCCGGTCTCCTGAACCAGTTCGCTTGGCCCGTCTCCATGGAGAAGATTGCCTGGAAGACTTACATCATCTTCACCATCTGGGACGCAGTCCAGACCGCTGTCATCTACGTCTTCATTCCCGAGACTAAGGGCCGCACCGTAAGTATCCAGATTAAGTATAGTGACCTTTTGAAAGCATGTGCTGACTGATCTGAAATAGCTCGAGGAACTCGACCACATCTTCGCTGCCGACAAGCCAGTCAAGGCTTCCATCCAGAAGAAGGAGGTCGCTGTCGACCGCTACGGCGACGTTGTCAACGTCCAGGACGTCTAAACGCTTCAGCAACCTTACGATATCAATCAAATTACATGCGCGAGCGAGCTAGTTGTGGAACTGTGTTTTGTCGGGGAGTAAAGAATTAATGATGCGAGGACACGGAAACAGCGGGGTAGTGTCACCTACTTTTGCATGGTTGGCGAGGTTTTATGTTCTGGGGTCGCTTTACGGCGGCTGTTGAATACGGGCCACCCTATCGCAAGCCTTTGTTATCTTCTATACCTATTATACCACCTTTTATCCACTGCAACACTAAACTTGGTGATCTGTTGTTAATGCTTTTGTCTGGAAATATGGAATCCTCCTATTCGCGGTTCTATCTCAGCATCTATTTCTTCGCGTTTATGCTCTTGGGAAGAGAGAAGCGGATATCACGGTGAATAAGAGGCCGTATTCCTGCTCACAGTGGATGTACTTGATGGATTGCATTCTAGATAGCATGCCAACCATTCAACCCCGTATCTAGCCGTTGAATTTTAGGATCGAACCTCGTTATTTGAGTGATACTATTTTGCTGCTTTAGTTGAAGGTATAGTGTCCTAGGCGTTTGTTGGGGATTCTCAGCAAGAGTATCACCGACTACCGAATCTTTGCCCTCGCCTACGACTCAAGGACATGGCTTCTAACAAGCTATCAAAGTCACGATACCGTAACTAGTATTACAGCCTTGACTATTGTCAGCACAAAACTCACCAAGACTAGCTGGCCGTAAGCCAAGTCGGCCAGTTTGGGAATGTAGCAAGCGGACTTGAGTGACAAGAAATCAATCAGATCTAAAATGATATCTTGTTCTTTAAAAGAAACGCTTTAGCCTACAGCACGTGATTCTTGATCAAACCTCATTTGTAAGAAAGTTATATTAATGTTAAATTCATAAGAACGCAACCCTTATTCTTTGTACGTACTACTTCACTCAAGATCCCGTATCTATAGTAGGGCCCAGGGCTTCGAATAAGTCCACCTCATCCGCAGACCAAGTCAAGAAACCGCCCATGGTGTCGTCCGAAGGGAAGTATTCTTCGAGGTCTGTAAACGTCCCTGGTAATCTGTAGTCTGAGGACGGAACTTGTCCGTCGAGTCCCGAACACCCAATTAGGCTTCTCTCTGCCCTACTAAGAGATTCCGCAAAAGCCTTGGGAGTCATGAGAAAACATTTCTTAAACTGCCGGTGGAGGTGCGCGCTTGCCACGCCCAGCTTCCGCGCCAGGCCTCCTACGGTCCACTTGAGGCTGTCGGCCTCGGCGGCTGCAATCATAGCGCGCGCCTGATGTGCAATCTTGCGACTGCTGCTGTCTCTGCTCCAGTCGTCATTACATGGCTCGCATCGCTTGCAGGGTCGGTATCCGGATTGCGAGGCATGTTGCAGGTCGTTGAAAAAGATGATATTGCCTCGTCGAGCGACACGACCGGGGCACGTTGGCCGGCAAAAGATTTGGGTCGATTTAACACCGTAGAAGAAAGACGAATTAGCAGAGAGATCACGACGAGAGACGAGAAGCCACCGGGCAGAATCGACGGTCTTGTTGGATTGAGAGGCCATCGGCGGGAAGGTTGATGATAATGGTCCAGGCCATGGGGAAAAGATGAAGAGAGGTTTGACGTCGTGATTTGGCTTGGCTCAGTCAATAACCCGTCTGAACCCGATTTCGGCTCTTACTAGCTCAAGCACATGATTGGCTGGTTCAAGGTCATCTTTCACAGGAACGATTTGATTGGTCAGTTTGAGATCACAGCCCCTTCACTGTCGGAACGGTGTTGTTCGCATATATATGCGTTGTACTTTCCGTCAAACCGGACGAATTGTGATTTTGCAACACAGATTAATAGTCAACAAAGTTCTAGCATCACAGAGTTCTCAACCCTCTCCACGAGCTTAATATCCAAGAAGACCATGGACAGTCCCGCTGCTGCCAACGTGTTCGGCACCCTTGGGGCAGTGCTTTGGTCGCTTCAGGTAGAAACCAACTTTTCTGTTTGTAGTCTTTTCAAAATATCTTTACTGAAATTCATTCAAGCTCTTGCCTCAAATTTGGAAAAACTGGCGTCGGCACGACACCCAGTCCCTGTCGTCGACGTTTTTCCTCTCATGGGCTGTCGCTGGGGTCCCCCTCGGCGTATACAATATCGCCGACGATTTTAACATTGCCCTCCAGATACAGCCCAATATCTTGATTTTTCTCAGTCTCTGGACCTGGTTTCAGTGCAAATATTATGGCGACAAATGGGGCACACGGAAAATAGTGGCTAGCGTCATCGGCATAGCCATTGTTCTGGCCGGTGCTGAGGTTGGCCTTGTTTACGCACTCAAATTGGCACGCGAACGCGGGCACATGTGGCCATCAATTCTCATGGCTATTGTAGCTGCGATTCTTTTGGCTGGTGGCGTACTCCGACATTACCTTCAGATGTTGAAGACTCGATCGGACGCCGGCTTGTCCCTCAAGTTCGCAACATTGGATCTGAGCGGGGATGTTGCATCGCTTCTATCTGTGATCTTTCAGAAGACACTCAAAATCTACGGAATCGTTATATATGGATCGGAGTTAGCAATATGGGCCGGTCTGATAGGCCTAGCTATCCATTATCGCCGTGTCAGCAATGGCGATTTTAACAAAAGACCCAAGGTGGACGCGGTGGTGTTGGGCAGAGGGGAGACTCGGGCAGCAGGCCGCAACGAAGAGAATCAGAGTGTTTAGAACTGCTCACAAGGCTCTCATTAGCTTGGATGTCTGAGCAGAGTCTCCCCAGTCAATGAACTGCGCACTAGTTCTGGAGACATTAAGGTCGGGACGTGATTGTTGTATTCCTGCGAAAACCCTGCACGAAAATGTTCGCTAAGAGCAATTTGAACTAAGTGGTGTAAGTATTAGCGGTTGATTAGATGCGTAGATGCAACCATTTGCACCTTTCCTAGCAGGTTAGCAGTATAAAATTTCAGATTGTAAAGTGGTGCTTCGTCCACTTGCTGCGGCCATCTGTGCTAATGCTTTAGTCTCGCGTCATTGAGCCTATGCATTGCGGCAGGCAATTAAAGGCTGGCGACAGTTCTGTTTCCCAAGCGTCTACGATAGGTGCTGTTTACTAACCCAGCCGCATTGAACACATACTCAGCGAGCCTAAACAAGGCTAACACGGTTCAAATTGACCTAGTTTTGCCGCGCCTCTAAGCTTGGAAATACGGCGCATGCGTACTAAGTACGTTCTGCAATCAAACCGTAGCGCAGGCAAGCTTTATTGAGTCATCCCGAATTAAACATTTCAAAGTCTAAAGGCAGCAATGCTGTCTGAGGCAAAATAGTTGTCATGATAGCGTTTGATTGCAGATCCCCTTTAAAGTCTGCCGAGCGGGTTCATAATCCATGACGTCCAACAAGGCAGGGGACAGGCCTTGGCCAGCCCCATCTCAGATCGAAGTTTGTGCTTTTCGGGAAGGTCGACCATCGAACTTTGAACAATGAGTTCGTATCGTCGAATGGGGCGCCAGGACCGATCAGGTAGGTAGCATTCGGACACGCAAAGACGCAATCGAGTCCCTGGACCCCTCGTACGACGCTGCGGCACCCACGGACTGAGATTGCGATGATCGGCAACGACACGGACAGCACAAATATGGCCGGGGGCGCGACTTGTTGGCGCGAATTCTGTACGGTCCACAGCTGCCTTCATTCAAGTTGATCTTCTTTCTCATTTCAAGGTCAAACGGGACACGATGGCGCCGTCTTGGCTAACAGTTGGCTTCCTCGGCTTCATCCGGGTCACCGCAGCTCTGGGACCGCAGCTTAGCCCGGCTCAGATGTGGAGGGAGTTCCATCTCCAACCCGAGCTCGAACCCGCTGCCGAAGGAGCTGCAGGCTCCGAGGTCGTCCGATTATTCGCCAATGACAGTGCCCCCGGCGCGCCGGATCCGTCCACTCTCTACCGGCCTTTCAACTTTTCGGTTCCCATTGACCACTTCCACAATGATTCCATGTACGAGCCGCACTCGAATGGCAGCTTTCCTCTCCGATACTGGTACGACGACCGGTTTTACAAGCCGGGAGGCCCTGTCATCGCCCTGGCAGCGGGTGAAACCAGCGGCGCGGGCCGCTTGCCTTTCTTGCAAAAGGGTATCGTTGCCATCCTGGCGGAAGCAACCAACGGAGTCGGCGTCATCTTGGAACATCGGTACTACGGCCGCAGCTATCCCACCCCAGACTTCAGCACGGAAAACCTGCGATTCCTTACGACTGATCAAGTCTTGGCGGACACTGCTTACTTTGCCAAGAACATTGTCTTCCCCGGCAAACTGGCAGAAGTTAATCTGACGGCACCGGAAACACCGTGGATCGTGTACGGAGGCTCGTATGCCGGCGCCTTCGTCGCGTTTCTGCGTAAACTGTACCCTGAAGTCTTCTGGGGCGCGATCTCTTCTTCTGGAGTCACTGCCGCCGTGGTTGACTTTTGGGAATACTATGAAGCCGCGAGACGTTTCGCCCCCGAGGGATGCGCAGAGACGACGCAGAAACTGATGCACATGGTGGACAACATCTTGATGCAGAAGGGCAACACGACTGAGGAGGACATCGTGACACTAAAGACCGCCTTCGGACTCCCTAACGTGACTGCGAGCGTCGACTTTGCGAGCGCGATTGGGGGCGGCATTGCAGGGCTACAGGGTCGAAACTGGGACCCAGCCCTTGACAGCGACGATTTCCTTCTCTACTGTGGCAACATGACCTCCGACGAACTGGTGTGGCCCGCAACGGATAGCCTTGACTCTAGTGCTCGCTACCTACTTGAGGTTGGCGGCTATGAGTCAGAAGTCACGGAGTTGGCCCCTCGACTCAAGAACTACATTGGCTACGTCAACTATACATCGTCCTGGTGCGACTCGGAGAACCAAGACGACTGCTTCGGACCCGGAAGTGACGATGCGTATGCCGCGGATGATCTCAGCGCGTCCTGGCGTCTGTGGGCCTACCAGTATTGTTCTCAGTAAGTGATCGAACTCAGAATTATTGTGGCCAAACGCTGACACTTGTGTTTAGATGGGGCTACCTCCAGACCGGCTCCGGCGTTCCGGAAGACCAGCTTCCTTTGATCTCTCGCCTGATTGACATCGAATACTCCACAGTCATCTGTCGCAAGGCTTTCAACATTACCTCGCTACCTGACGTTGAAGCCATCAACAAGTACGGTGGTTATAACTTCAGCTACCCTCGCGTAGCCATCATTGATGGCGAATCTGACCCGTGGCGATCTGCGACTCCTAACAAGATCGGGCTTCCGCGGCCAGAGTCGACCATCGAGGAGCCCAACTTGGTCATCACGGGCGGAGCAGTTCACCACTGGGACGAGAATGGCATTTTCAAGAACGAGACAACGGCTGACCTGCCACCGTTGCCTGTCAAAGAGGCCCAGAGCTTCGAGGTGGAGTTTGTACAAGCCTGGCTTAAGGAGTTTGCTCCGACAAGAAAGTAGACAGTAATACTGAAGATAATTTTGCGCTAGAAAGAACTCTCAATAGCGAAGTATGTACGCGGAGCAAAATAGCCCATCGGACGCTACATAGAAAACATTAACATCATTACTACTCAGCATATTCTGGATAATGTATGACTGTAGCTACTGACGTAGGCCTCTCATAACTTTTTTGCAGCCTCAATAATGATATCAGCAGCTCTCTCCGCAATTCCATATACTGCAGTCTGAATATGCGCTGAAATTAGGACTGGCATGATACTTGCGTCTACGACTCTGAGGTTCTCCGCTCCGTAGACCTTTAGTGACGGGTCAACGACGCCGCCATCTTCCTTCGGGAGCATTGCGCAGGAGCCGACTGGGTGATAGATGGACAAGGTGGTCCTGAGAGCAAAGTCCCGCCACTGCGCGTCTGTCGTGGTATTCAAGCCTGGCTCATACTCCGAAACCCACGTCGATCTGAGAGGTTCGGTGAGAGCGACCTGACGACACTTTTTGATGGCTTGGATGGCTGCTTGCAAGTCGTATTCGTTTGAAAGATAATTCGGGTCGATGAGAGGTGGTCCCAAGGGGTCGGCAGGGTTGACGTGGACATGCCCTCGACTCAGTGGGTGCATAATGGCCGCGATGAGCGTGAAGTAGTCTTTGCCGTAACCTGGACTTCCTGAAGCAGGATACCCCTTGACGCCGGTATATCCATCGCTGAAAAGAATTTCCAGTTGAGGTACCGTCGTATCGTTGAGCCATTGGAGCTTTTTCTTCTCGACCGGGTTGTTGGTATCCCCAATCGCCGTCTGAGCAAGGGCAGCAAGCGCTGTTTCTCCATCGTCACCGAGAGCCTGGTTCCAGTTGGTGAACGTGTATCCACTCCCAGAGTATCCGTACATTGAAGTATTGCCTTGCCGCCAGAGCTGGAGCTGCTCAGCAGCATAGACTGTGTCGTACTTAAGACGGTCGTATCCAATGTAGTTGCTCTTCAGTTCGTACGAGCTCTGGATGCGGATGTGATCCTGGAGGTTTTCACCTACTCCTGGAAGGTCAATAATCTGACTAATACCAGCAGCAGAGAGAACATCCGCCTTGCCAATGCCGGAGTTTTCCAGAATAGAGGGGCTCAGTAAACCTCCACCAGAAACGATAACCTCGCGACGAGCAGTTAGGACGGTTCCGTCGACAAGAGTCACGCCGGTAGCACGCTGGCTGCCATGGCAGGTAGTCTTCAAATTGACTTTGGCGACCTTTGAATCTGTCAAAACGAAGTGGTTTGGACCGGCTAAGGGCAGGTAAGAGTTTGCGCTGTAGGATCGGTTGTAGTGTGTCGGCTCGATGCTGTTGGGCGAGTACAGAACGCCCAGAACGTTGCCGTTCAATGATTCGAGGTTTGTTTCAATGCCCAAGCTGTTCATGACCGGGAACAGCGGGGCTTGGTGCTTGGGGATGAGCCGGTTGATCAGAGCCTTGATAGGTCCAGCGTTGCCAACGCCCTCGCTCCCGGTGTAGTACTGAGTGTTGGCCGAGGTAAAGTTCTCAGACTTCATCATGGCAGAGCGCATCGAGTCCCAGTTCCACCCTGGGTTACCAAGCTCTTCCCATCCGTCATACTCGTGCGCAGACGCCCTATCGTATGAGAAGAGGTTGAGTGCGGAGCTCCCACCTAAGACGTGCCCTCTGGTCTGAACCCAGACGCGGCCATTTGATCCCTCCTGCGGCACAGTAGTGAGATTCCAGTCGTACTTGCTCCCAAACGTCGAACCTCTCCGACCCGGAATCTCAATGCGCTCGTCGCCGAGCCCTGATGGACCTGCTTCGATGACCAGAACTGTCGCGTTCTGCAGCCCCCGGCTGAGACGGGTCGACAGCGCGACTCCAGCAGTACCTCCGCCTACAACAATCTGCAGAGCCATCAATTAGTTCACATCATAATTCGGGGTGGGTGTAATGGGTTAGAGAGCACAAACGTAGTCGAAAGCCTTGTCAGTCCGCTGACCAGGAGCTGCTGACACTGCTGCCACGTACAGGGCCAGGATCGAGGCGACTGGGAACATTTCGATGTATCGAGATCTTCGTGCGAGGTCCCTTTGAACGAGGTAAGAGTCTGGTTTGAATCAAGCGAGCTACGCGGGCATGCAGGTTTAGATGGCGCATAGGGTTGTAAGAGGCACACTTTGTCGGGCTAGGCGGCGGCACCAATGTCGCTAGAAGTGTGTCTCGACGGCGATCAGGATGTCCAACACCACTTGGGAAGTCTACTGAATCCGTCCTTTGCAAGGGCTTAGACGCTTGATGGGCGTTCTGGATCAGAATTCCGGCATTCTTTTGTACAATAGAACTTTGGGGCCCAGGGTAGTTCATGTGGCTTTGCAAAACGTTGGACAAAATAATCAACTCATTTCGCACAACCCATGGAAGCGAGTCAGGGCACACTTCAACCGGGCGTTCTAGTAGGCGGGGAATCAACCCTTGCACACCCAGCGCGACATCGAAGACGATTAGATGAACTATCCGAGGAAACGTGGGTGGGTGGCTTTCAGGGTGAAAGTTCTCTTCGCTCCTGGGCGGGGTGAAAACGGCAGAGTTTGCAACGCTAGAGACCCCTCCTCAGATAGAGATGGAATGTCGTCGGTGACCTTGATGCAACCTACCGTGCCTACTTTATCCGCAGCGTACCATCAACCGTTGAATCTGCATCCTCCTGACGCCTGGCTCTGCAGTCTCTCCTACTTGTTGCGAGATGGGTGGGGTTCCTCGGACTTTGCAGCAGGGAATCGGCAGTTTACCCCGGTCGTGCCCTCCGCCTACTCCAATACGAATTTCCACACCGGGAGCGACAGCGGCATCTGGGTGAAGAAGGTCTACCGCTAGCTTAATGTTCGCTTACATGGACAAGGGTTGTGTGGGTTGCACGAGAAGGCGCTAAGATGGCGTGGTAAAGGGGTTGATGGGCTTTGCTGAAGACTCTACCCGCCGCGATGAAATGATGACAAACAAGACGGACAGGCAACTATGGCGTTGGAAAAGACTAGATCATTCACTTCTGCCATATCATTCAAATTCACGGAGTACTGTCGGAACTGCAGTCGCGCTGCTTTGCCGTCTTTTGGTCTCACGCTGAGGGGTCGAGAAAATTCTGTCCGAACAAAAACCGTTGTTTAGCACAAGTAGGCACAGGATCCTCTACTGAAACAGAACTGGAGACGAAACAGGGGATGGAAATAGACAATTTCGACAGTACACGGGACAAATTCTGAGCGCCAGGTCAGGATCTTATGCCCCACGACCCAGGAAGGCCTCGCTGTCGGACTTCCAAGCTGACTGGATTCAAGACCTGGTACCTTGACACCGGAGTAGACAATTTGTGTCAGTGGGAGCATGAAAGAACATGAATATTTGACTTCCGAGAAGTAATGCTTTTGGGCACCACTCAACATTGCTCGATAACTGAAGCTTCATTCCCAGCTCTCAGTACATGTATTAGCAGCCTTCACAGTTCGAGATACATCGGCATCTTCCATCACAAGCATAGCACGACCTTGGGCCCATAAGAAGGTTACCTGTACAAGGAGTTGAATTATCTCTGATGTTCTGAGCCTTGCGATTACCATTTTTCTCTTAGACAATGCCCAGCCAAAAGTGTGGGGACGCGAGTCATAAACCCAACGAGGCGGAAGCCAAGGTGTAATCAGAGCTGCGCAAACACTCCCTTGACTCCCAGGTCTCGAGAAGTTGAAGTTGCACGGGAGCGGAGCGGGTTCCGCATTCCAAACGGCTGTCCTGCTGCCATCCCTATACATTCACAGAACCAGGCACGAGAAGTTTAATGTCGATTCTGCATGCCTGAGTCACATTGCCGGCCGAGTGGTAAAGCAATATATGGGGGGAATCCGAAGAGCCACCATCCGCGCGCCACAGAGTTTTGCAGATTCCTTGAAATATGCGGACGAATTGTTTGATGGGTTCTGCGGCAGGCTTGTTTGAAACAAAATGCCCAAATAGTGCAAAGCTATGGTCCGACAAAACTGACTTATATGACTGGCATCTGGCCGTTGCTGAGAAGGCGGCATCTTCCTGCGTCATGTGTGTTCTCAGACACGCCACGACAGCGTGCCACTGGTCTTGAAACCCGATCTCGACGATACCACTTGCATAAACGGACTTCTCCAGACAGCAGCTACCTACGACGATGAGCGTAGTCTCTCGAAATGAATCACTACCGCCGAACGAGGACGTCGGTCCAATCTCTTATTCTCTCGCCCTCGCCCTGACAATCTTCCTCGTCATCACGACCGGCCTCCGACTATGGGTGCGAGTAGCGAACCGGAAGCTCGGATGGGACGACTTGACTATCGCTCTCGCAGGCGCAACGGCAGTTGTACGGTTCGCCTTCGTCGTCTTACAATGGAAACACGGAAATGGCAAACACCGAGTCTATCTCAGCGACCATGACTACATGATGATCAACATGTACGGCTGGTGGGGACAAATGCTGCTCTTCATCTCTGTGGCGTTTCTGAAGGTGTCAATCTGTCTCTTGATCCTTCGCATCAAAGATACCAGGTGCTCAAGCGCTTGCTGCATGTCATTATGGCTGGTGTCCTCATTACGAATTTCGGGGTCGTGATCATTTTGATAGCCGAGTGTCAGCCCGTCGGCTTCTGGAGGGGCAAGTCAGCCGTGTGTTGGCCAACACACATCCGCATATATTTCATCTATGCGACGATTGGTATGATCAAAATATTCCGGAAGCCTCGGGGTCTGATCACTGATCAGAGTTGGTAGCATACTCGGTCTTGACGGACCTCATCTGTTCACTACTTCCTCTTGTGGTGATTTGGAATGTGAAGATCCCTCGACAGACGAAGATATCAGTCTCTTGCTTGATGGGGCTGGGCCTTGTGTGAGCTCCTCCCAAACATCTTCCAGTTCCCACGCCTAGAAAAGACATCACGTCACCTAACATTCTATTCTTTTGAATATTAGGGCGACCGGGTTCGGCGTCGCTAGAGCAGCGTCACTGGGAATTTCCACCTCAGACTTGAGTTGTGCGTCCACCCCCGCCCCCCCGCCCCCTACCCTCAACGGAACCAACCGAAATAAAGACTGACGATTATCTTGCAGGGGCATACTGTATCGCCGGAATCTGGTCGAATCTCGAACTGTTCCTGGGTATCATCGCCGCAAACCTCGCTCTTACAAGGTCCATCTACGTCCACTTCTTCAGCAATGGTTCAGCGCAGCAGACACTTCCAGAGTCAACGGGCAGATGTGACCCGTTGCAGTCTGAGTATCTCAGTAGCAAGCTCAGAGGCGACCGCTTTGAAGTGCCTTCGACGATGATTGGGTCACCTTGTCGAAGAGGGTCGGAGACGAGGAGTTCAGATAGTGAAATCCCACTGAGATCAGGCATCCAGAAGAAGACTGAATTTTGGTGGACAGAGGATGACGAAGGCAAGCCGCCGAGACCATCTCCGTGAGTCAAATTTGATGGGAGTGATACAGCTGTAGGTAGCACCTGTACATGACGTCTGGCGGCCGCATTCTCCAGGTGGCCGGCGGTTTCCAGCGGCCCGCAACTTGATGCAAGAAAGTTTGCTGAAATCGACGTGGAATGTGAATTTATATCAAGCCCAAGTTTCGTTTCGTTTCCAGAAATGTACATGCTGAAAAAACGGGTAATTATAGAACTGCTATGAGTGACAATCTCTGTTTTCTTACATACAACATGATCTTACTGTCATGTGACCGGATAACCAAGAAATCTATCTTGACGTTGAGATTCGAATAGAGACCTTCGACCGTGGAACGGCGATCCCTCAGTAGTCGACGAAACTACAGCACCTACTTAACCCACACTCATGACTACATTGAGCACTAGACGGAGTCTCAGGTTCTCCTTAATCGCCTTTCAACGCATGGTTTGGGTGCACCCACCACTTGAGAATCAGATTCTCCCCATAACCTACGTCTTGTTAACGAGGCACAGACGCGACGTGACCACCGTCGTGAGTAGTCCCTCTCGATCGCCGCGACCTCGACAACTTCTCCTTCTTGCCGCATCGCGGCACCAGATCCTCCTCCTCCTCGAGCAGAGCTTGAAAAGACGGAAGCGGCGCCACGGGAAACCCCGTCTAGGGCTCGTGGTCGGCCCACGCCTCCTGCCACTGCTGCGGAGTCCAATTCCGGTGATCTTGCACGATCCGGTCGGAGTTCCACAGCTCTCTCGGGTCAAAGTTGCACCTCACAATCAGCGCCCCTTGAGCGGTATCCCTCATGGCACGAGGGATGGGAATCCCTGGTAAAAGTATCCGGTTCTGCGGGCGACTCGGAGCTTGTTGGACATGATGGACCGGGTGAGCAACCACTCCGTCGGCGGGACGATGCCCTGGTCCACCGATGCAAACCAGGCCGCTTGCCACGCGATATCTCTCTGGTTCGTCATCTGAAGTATCTCCGTGCACAACTGGGGCGTGGGCTGGCCGTCAAGAATCAGAGTGAAAGATGCAGGCGGCATTCCCGCGGGGACGAGAGCAAGGGCTTCCATAACCCACCGCGACACGTTGGCGGTAACCTGTTTGGCCTCCAGACCCCATGGTACTGGTTCGCGTCGGGTCATGGTCCGGTATTTGGCCTGGCGGCGAGTGTCCGGGGTGTCGAAGTTCGAGTCTGGTAGCAAGGCATTCCGCCCCAAGTTGACCCGGCGATCGATCCGCAGGCGGGGATTCTGATTATAGAAGGGGATCAGGCCAAGCGCGTAACACGGTGGTTCGGCCACTGCCTCGCGGTCCTCGTTGAGGATAATCCGTTGTAAATGTTGTCGCAGCTGCCGATGCATCGATTGCAGGAAAACAGACTGCCGCTGCCGCAGCAGAAAAGCGATAGTCCGAACGATCCTTCGTTGTCATCGCGCTAGTGAGCCAACATGAATCGTTGATGTCAACGTCCAGACAACTTGTCATGTCGTCCAATACTCCATCCGAGGGGATGGCCCAGTGGTATCCAAGGCTGGTGAAGAACTTTTGTGGTATGAACCCAGGAGGTATGGATTGGGTACTGCGGCTAGAGAGAAACGACCAAACAAACTGCACAGCTCATGTTGGCAATCCTTTCTGGACTAAAGGCCCCGCTGAGTTCGCGAAATGAGACCCAAAAAGCTCGTCTTCCGCTTCTTGTTCCGCGTGGCAGTGGGGTTCTTGGGGGGTTGTACTGTGTGGTACACGGCGGGTAGTCGACGCCGGGACTTTGAGTCCTGAAGTCGGGCGATTAACGGCTTTCTGTCCCGTACGGCACGGCGGGTCCACTAACGGTGCCCCGTGGCTCCGTTGGTTGCTCTCCCCGGAGCCACGCCGACGCCCCCCACTGACCGCCGAATCACAGTCCTCGGTATTCAAGACTGGTGGATGCTGCAAGCTTGCGACAATGAGCAAGGTAGTCAACATTTACATCCTCATTCCAGACTTACTTTCTTCAAAATCGCAATTGCTGCGTCATCGGTGTCAGCTACCGCGTAAGTACAGATGGGCACTTTTCCCTACCCCGCCGCCATGCGTTGACGGACAATCGGGGCCCATTCACCGCCGAGAAGCCAAAGCTCGGCCCCAATGTCCCTCCCCTTCTTATCTTTGTCCCAAAAGCATCCCATCATCCCGTCTGGAAAATGCCTCGAGTCGTAATCACAGGACGTGACACATTTCTTACCATCTTATTGGTTCAAAGAGATGCTGTACGACTACAGGCGGACGTCCGGTCCGGGTCCTCATCCACCCGACTCGTCCAACGGCAACGGCCTTTGACGCCAAACCTCCGAAGTGGCGCATCCGCACACATGTGTACACGGACTATTGTGACACCGGATATTGGATGCAACAAGCCACTCGGAGATGCTATTCGTAAGCAGACATGGAGCCATACTGAGCGAGCCACGAGACTGACTACGTTCCACAAAGGTATGACGATGGATCAGCTCCTTCGGGTGTCGTGCACTCTCAGCTTAAGGTAAGGTAGAATCTAAATATCGAGCTACCCCACACCAAATCTCACTCTCGATTTCCCCGGACCATCCATCCGCAGATCCTCCAAACATCATCCACATCCCTAGATCCACCGTGGGAATACCTTCACAGCAAACCAACACAACACGACAACATGGCGATCAAAGCCTCCACCGGAGTTTGCAAACCCTCCGAACTAGCCCACCTCGTCCTCCGCACAGCCAACCCCGAAAAGCTAGTCTCCTTCTACCAAACCTTCCTCGATGCAAAAATCACCGCCTCAAGCCCCCTCATCACCTTCCTCACATGGGACCACGAGCACCACCGCCTCGCCATCCTCAACGACCCCACCGCCGTCCCGCGACAGGACAACACCGTCGGCATGGACCACTTCGCCCTGACCTTTGACTCTCTTGGCGACCTGCTGCAGTCTTACAAGGCTCGTAGAGATCTGGGCATTGAACCTATTTGGTGCGTCAACCACGGCATGTCGACTAGTATGTACTACCGCGATCCGGATGGCGGCAAGATTGAGACGCAAGTAGATGTCTTCGAGACGAAGGAGGATGCTGTTGCGTACATGATGAGCGCGGAGTTTGGAGAGGATCCCAGGGGGCCGAGGTTCGACCCTGAGGAGATGGTCAAGAGGTTTGAGGCTGGTGAGGATGAGAAGAGTTTGATGAAGAGGACGGCTTTTTCGAAGGAGGAGGTGAAGGTATGATATTTAGACTGTGTTGTGAATCAGGATGTTGTGGTTCCGAGAATCAGATTGAATTTCGTGGATGCATCGTGCTCGCACGTGTAAGTCATAGGTACACTTAGTAATTGCATACAATGATGCTAAAAGCACACTTAGCATATAACTGAGATACGACTAGCATTGAATTCTGAGAAGTCTTCTTGAAAGCCTGCTATTTGTTGGTATGCGGTACTGGACTTGTTGTTCTGCTCCCACGTAAAAGTTGGTGCTAGGAACATGCGGCAAGACACCTAAGCAACAACCTCAACCCTCAGATCGAAGGCCTCATGACTGCAGATTGATCCAGAGCTGGGCTTTGAAGTTACTTAAGAAGTCAACGTAACAGGAACTCTTTATGTTCGCGCCCGATCGTTTCGATTACAAACTGGCAAACTTATATTCAAGTACGTACTCGTCTATCTTGAGTACATAGGTGATCATGAGAAAAGTAGTGCTTAACTTGATAATATCTCCTTTACTCCCCGTTTGCCGTCCACGTCACCTTAGCTCAGAGCGCATTTGAAGAAATCATGGAGATATTCGTACTGGGACTGTTCCCCAGTCGACGGGGTAAGCGCCATGCCAGGCATAACGTAGCGAAGGTACATGTAGGGGCCGAGAACAGGGGGCCGTATGATCTGACGCGAGTTGCACCCTTGCTCTGCCAAATTTGCCAGACTCTACTTTGCTTGTCTTGTCATAGGACAAAGAGCGTAGTTAACTCCCGAAGAGACAGTCTCTGACAGAGTGAAAGCCGAATGTATCAAAAGACTGCTCTTCAGGTTGATAGGAGAATGCTCCAAATTGATTTGGATTGTGTTGCAGACAACATCGTGGCTCGGAGTGTCTAAAACCGACGGAAAATCTTTCTTCGGTAGACTACTCAGACATGCGTTGAATAGGACCGTCCAATCTCATACCTCAGAGACTCTGAATAAAGGATCAAAGATTGAATGAGAGAATCGCGGCTACGGGTCGCCTTCACATCGCATGCCCCGAACCCTCTACGTTACCGACCATACTCCGTTCAATCCTTATACCATTGCCTTCTAGCGCAAAAGAAAAGACATTTTCCCCAAAGCTTCATTTCCGTCCATACGACACAATTCCTCATTCCAACAAAAGCCAGGGCATGCGCCTTGGTTTTTTCTTGCTGTGGCTGGGACGAAACAGCATCAGCCAAGCCTTTTTGGCAGGCCTTGAGTGGCTTTGAATCTCCGAGGGCTGCAGATGACCCCTGTCATCAACTTTAGTTCAGCCCCTAGCTGCCCCCAAAACTGTGCCTTTGGCGAGTGTCGCGCTGCTGTCTGGCCCGTCGAGAGTTACACCGTCGCACTCTCGGCGACGTCAAGAGGGACGGGAAGTGGCTTGGCAGCGCGTCGTCGCGCCTGGACTCTCGAGTCTCTTGGCTCTCTTTAGCGATGTGTTGTTTCTGTGCTCTCTCTGTGTGTGTTGTCTGCCTCTGTCAAGTACGACTTGCACTACGTAGTGCCTGTTTGTGGTGATGCAGCTGCCAAGGATATGATGAACATGGCGGTGATGGTGAGAAAGCGCGCTTGGCATATTACCTGGAGGTTTCCCCCTTCACTGTTTGGGCAACAACCTCGTCTTTCTCTTTCGCATGATATTTTGGTTGAGAGGACTCCATCAGGATATCGTCAAGACTCAATTCGGTGGATACACCACCATCTTCTTCCCCTCCTGGTCCCGAGTATCACCTAATAGGATCTATCCTCGGACCTCAAGA